CTTTCCCTTAAGGTCTTTGTCTTACTAGGGTAACCTATTGGCCTTTCTTCTTCTTGTTACAGGCTTAATGATCACCTCTGCTGCAATCTACCATGTCCTCCATTTTTTCCACATCACCATTGACATTCGGAATGTCTGTGTGTTCCTGGCCCCTCTCTTCTCTTCCTTCACCACCATCGTCACGTACCACCTTACCAAAGAGCTCAAGGTGAAGGATTTGGGGTGACAGGAGGCTTGGGAATGAATGTTGTTGAACCTCTGAAGTTGATGCTAAAGGGTGGGGGACTGAGAGCCTTAGAAGGGCAGGGAGCCAGAGGCTAAAGGCAGCTTTTGCTGAGCCGAATTACTGAGTTCACCCCAGCCCCTCCCTAGAATATGTGGTTTCTTATCATTAGCAACTGTTTATCCTTACAAGAGAACATATGAAGGTCAAATATAAATTGCTGCACATGGGAAAAAAATATTTAAAATGAGGTTTAGATTTTGAATTCCTCACAATCTAAGGGAGAGGAAAAATAACTACAAGAAGCATTCCAAAGTGGTTAGTTCTTCCTACTGGAAATGGACAGTTAGCAGTTATTTGTTGATTTTTTTTTTTCACATGTTTATTTAAAAATTCTTAAACCACTTGGCTTTTGTAGTAGACCCCATGATACTGACTCTCTTCTTCTAGGTTTCTGCATTGCTGACCCTGGCTCCTTGGATGCTATTCTTAGTTTGTGGCTATGGTGTCAGGGAGATACCTGAGAGGTGATAAACTAGTAGGAGCGCTTGGGAAACTTGAGTTTAATTTGGAAACGTTTTCATCCTTCTTGCTGCCCTTGTTCCAAATTTGACTCTTACGAACAGACAAGTTCTTCCTTTTTTGGAGTGCGGGTTATACTTTGTTGTTCTTCTCTCCTGAGTTCACAGATTGCCTAGGAATATTCCAGCTTTATTATCTAAGCTCCTGGCATCTTTAGTCCAGAGAGATTGTTACCTGTCTTTGTTGGCTTTTTAGCTCAAATACGTATGGTCTTCCTTTGATTGTCCTTGGATAGCTTGTAGAGGGGTGACTGGTGTTCCTGTGGTGTGCAGATATTTTTAGGGGTAGGGACTCATAAGTCTGGGGATACTCCAGCCAAACAGCCCATTCTGGGGCAGCATCTGACAGCTTACATGATTTGTCTGTTCTTAGCATGTGTGTACTCAGTTTCAGACTTGCCATCATCACGGGGAATTGGTTGTGAAGTATGTAGCTTTCTTGTGCTGTGAACATTTCTAGCATTTCTAGCATCACATCTACTGTGGAAAGTGTCAGACTATTCTCTGGGCCCATTGTAAGCAGAATGGACTAGTGGATCCTCTCTTCTCTTTCATAGATGTATTGCTGTTAACTTCCTGTTACCCCTCTTGTCTTATAGGATGCAGGAGCTGGACTTCTTGCTGCAGCCATGATTGCTGTAGTTCCTGGCTATATCTCCCGATCTGTGGCTGGCTCCTATGATAATGAAGGTAAGACTTAAAGGGCTGAAGAGGCTCTGTTCACCTCATTATCCAGTAGAGCTTCATGAAGTGCAGTAGAATCTGGATTCAAATCTGTTGTTTAGTGATAGCAAAAATGGTGTCTGGGTGAGAAGATTAGAAGTGGGCAGGAAGGGACTTCCCTGGTGGTCCAGTGGTTGGGACTTTGCCTTCCAGTGCAGGGGGTGTGGGTTTGATCCCTGGTCGGGGAGCTAGGATCCCACATACCTCTCGGCTAGGGGACCAAAACATAAAACAGAAGCAATACTGTAACAGATTCAATAGAGACTTTAAAAACAGTCCACATCCAAAAAAAAAAAAATGGGCAGGAAGGGACCTCAGACAAGTTTATATTCTCTCTGTGTCATTTCCTCTAGAAAGGTAGCTGGTAATTTTCCTTACATAAGGCCTTTGGCTCATCTCCGTACTCCTAAAAGTAGAGTTAAGTTTTAGTGTTGGTTGGTACTATTGTTTTAACATTGTAATTAATCATTTGCTTTATTTTCCTAGATGAGAGGAATGGATATTCTTAAAACTATAGTGACTTTTATTGACTTATTTCCAATTCAACCTGTATTTATTGAATGTTATTTGTAAAACAGTGTTAGGTATTATAAAGATAGTTAATGAATAGGAGTATTGGCTTATAATTAAGGAATTATAGGGATAGATAATGAATAAAATTATGTTAGCCCATAGTCTATTAACACAGATTAATGCAGACTATAAAAATAAATAATAATGGGCAGATAGTATCATGTGCCATGAGAGAAGGGTGAGCAGAGTACTTTGGGAACATGGTGAGAGGAGAGATTAATTCAGATTTGGGGATCACGGAAGGCTTTTTGGAAGTAGTTGTGTTTGAACTGGGCCCTGAAGTTGGAACTTCGTTAGGCAGATATTAAGGAGAGAGGCAGTCAGGGCATATGGACCAGCTTGCGGTAAGATGTAGAGGCAGGCCGGTGCTTGATAGTTCAGGATATCTTGAGGACTAAAACAGCAGGGAATTTAGTGCCTGGAAAGAACAGTAGTAATAATGAGTAATACTTATTGAGTGCTTGCTGCATGCTAGGTACTGTTCTAAGTGCTTTACCTGAAATAGTTAAATTTGTCTTCACAATAGTTTTATGAAGTAGATACTACTATGGACTCTTTTACAGGAAACTGAGACAAAGGGAGGTAGAGTAATTACATTGTTAATGGTAGTAGGTCTGAGATATGAATCCAGGTAGTTTGTTCCAGAACAGTATTACTCTTCCAGCATGGCCTTTTACTGAATTTTTGTGTTCTTTCTGCAGGGATTGCCATCTTCTGCATGCTACTCACCTACTACATGTGGATCAAAGCAGTAAAGACTGGTTCCATCTATTGGGCAGCCAAGTGTGCCCTTGCTTATTTCTACATGGTAACTCTTCACTCCCTACTTTCAGGAGTCTCTCTATGTCTGCATACCTATCGGGATCAACTGATATAAATTGGAAGTAGCTCTTGGGCTTTGAGACCATGAACTAGAGGCTAAAAGTCTTTATATAGTCTCTTGTGTCCATACAAAGCCTAATCCAAAGCAGGCAGGGATATCCATTGTATAATAGCAAGATAGAGATAATTCTTTTAATTTTTAAAGGTTTCCAGATACTGTATTTCCTATGGGTACATGTTGATTGGCCAACTCTCTTTTCTGGTGTGTTCCCCTTAAAGTTTTCCTTTCCTGACGTATATTTTTTTCTGTTCAATCTTGTAAACACCGAGACTTCTTTCCTTAACTGCTCCACTTGCTTACATTTCCCTTGAATCCCTAAATCCTCTGTGTGACCTTACCGTAGGGTGTGTCCAGATTAATGCTTAGAGTTGGGGGCCTCTTGTTTTGTGATCGTGATGGCAGGAGCCATAGCAAACAGAGGATTGAGTTACAGTAATGGGTGTTAATTTGATTTTCCTACTTAAAGAAGTCAATTATTTAAACTCTTTAAACCACTTGGTGTAAATAAAGTTTTTGGTTACTGTAAAGAGATGTTCTTTAAAAAGGTCACAGGTAGGGCTTCCCTGGTGGTGCAGTGGTTGGGAGTCCGCCTGCCGATGCAGGGGACGCGGGTTCGTGCCCCGGTCCGGGAGGATCCCACATGCCGCGGAGCAGCTGCTCCCGTGAGCCATGGCCGCTGAGCCTGTGCGTCCAGAGCCTGTGCTCCGCAGCGGGAGAGGCCACAGCAGTGAGAGGCCCACGTACTGCAAAAAAAAAAAAAAAAAAAAAAGAATCACAGGTAACATCCTAAGGTACAATGGTGGTGATCCAAGGAGGAGTGCTCAGACGAACTTTTCTTTTTTATCCTGTCCTAGGTCTCTTCATGGGGAGGTTATGTGTTCTTGATCAACTTGATCCCGCTTCATGTACTGGTGCTGATGCTCACAGGACGTTTCTCCCACCGGATCTATGTGGCCTACTGTACTGTTTACTGCCTGGGCACCATTCTTTCCATGCAGATCTCCTTTGTGGGTTTCCAGGTGAGCCCTAGACTGAGTGGGGTTGTTAGCTTCTTCCACTTTTTCTAAGCAGCTCCAACTAAATTGATTTATCTTGGATTCTGGTGACGATAGTAAAACTTATTCACAGGTCTGACCTTGCTAACACTGCTTCTGTTAACTGAAGCAACAGAGTCATTGGTCATTAAAGTCTGCCTCCTGGAGTGTGTTAATATTTGTTCATGAAGTTTGAATTTAATGACTCCTAACTTGGCTTAGGTTTATGGGAGGAGGAGGGATATTTTGGTTGAGCTGAGTTAACGTGAGTGACCACAGTTATCTTTTTCAGTCCTTTTTAATGCGAATGACTCCATTTAATAGTAATGACCCCTGAACTTCTTAATCGGGCCTAAGTGAAAGTTCTTTAGCAAGCAAAGCCTGAACCTTTTAACCACATTACCCCACAGGGTTAAGAGACAGCTATTAAGTCAGAGAATAATGTGGTATGTGTGATTTCTCATGTAAAATTCTTACGAAAGTGGAACCCTTATTCAGGTCAGCAAGTTTTTCTTTACTGATCACCTGCTGTATGCAATTTGCTAATACCTGGGAAATGTTAAAAGTAAATATGTGGTTCTGGTCCTTAAGGAAGTCACAGTCTTGTTGGGAAAGAAGCACATGCTTCTAGAACCACTAGTCTGTGGTCTAGTCGTTCTAGAAATGTAGTTCCTGGACCAGCAGTGTCAGCAGCATCTGGGAGCTCATTAGAAATGCAAATTCTGGGGACCTGCCACAGATCTACTGAATCAGAAACTCTGGCGGTGGGGCTCAGCAGTCTGCGTCTAACCCCCCCCCTTCCTGTCCCTGCCATGATTATGATGCCTGGTGGAGTTTGAGACCATTGGTCTAAGTTATGGAGGAGATCTGAAGTGTGTGGAATATAGAGGAGAGTGATGGATTTCAGTTTGGTAGATTAGGAGGAAATGGTATTTGCATTGGGCCTTGAATGATCAGAATTTCCGTGAATGCAAATTTTGGGAAAGTGAGAATTACAATCGAGGCTCAAGAAATAGCCTGAGCAAAGGCCAGAGATGTGATAATGATAGAGTGTGGTACACTTTGGGGGACTAAATATTCTTTGGAAAATGAGGCAGGTGAATTAGACCCTCCTCTAGATTGGTCCTAATTCCTTGGTGGCCTTAGAACTCATTGGACCCTTTGGTCTGAACTTGGTCAGGATAATTCAGGTCAAGGCTGGACCCGTTCTTTTCCTAACAGTCTCATACATATGCTTTCACCTACAGCCTGTCCTTTCATCAGAGCACATGGCAGCCTTTGGGGTCTTTGGTCTCTGCCAGATCCATGCCTTTGTGGATTATCTACGCAGCAAGTTGAATCCACAGCAATTTGAAGTTCTTTTCCGAAGTGTCATCTCCCTGGTAGGCTTTGTCGTTCTCACCGTGGGAGCTCTCCTCATGCTGACAGGTAGGGAAGGCTTTTAGTATTAAGTGTAAATGGGTATGAACATAGAATAAACTCCAAAAATATGGGTCATTTCCTGGCCACAGAAAGATTCATTCTTTTCCTCCTATTTCTCTTGATTTCAAGCATAAAAAGTCCAACTTCTGCACATTCAATCCTCTTGTCAGCCAGTGTCTGGATTCAGCATAGAAAGAAAATCATATTAGATCAGCTCTTAATCTCAGAAGACATACACTTGGTGACAGGACTGTATTTTACCATGCTAATATTTCTCCTTTTTTTTTTTTTTTTTTTTTTTTTTTTTGTGTGTGTGTGTGTGTGTGTGTGTGTGTGTGTGTCCTTTTCTTTCCTATTGGTAGGGTGGGAGAAATCCTAACATTGCTTGCCCTACTGCGTGGCCTCATCTAATCCCATATGACAAAACCGTGACTGTTTAGTTTGGGTAGCATGCCACGTTTTCCTCCTGTCTTCATCTTCCTCACGTACACTTCTCCGAATCTGATTTGATTTTGCCCAAGACTCTGTATCTTCAGAGCAGCACTGGAGGACTGAGTGACTTAGTTTGTAGCATTGGCCTTGGTTTGACCAGATTGGTCCTAAAACCCTTCTAGGAAGTATCTTTGCCTCCCTTCTCTCTGAGTTTATATACAACCTGACTTTATTCTACTGACTGTTCTGACAAAAGTACTCTCAAGTTTGAAAGAACGGAAGGAGTGAAATTCTCAAAGTATTGGTGGCATTTAAACAAAAACCTAGTCCTCCTCTGTCTCAGAGAAGCTTATTCAAAAGGAAAGTTGTGATTAGTTAGGATCACATGTTATTTTGTTTCAGAAGTAATTGTGAAATATTTGTTGCCTCTTTGCTGCCAGGAAAAATATCTCCCTGGACAGGGCGTTTCTACTCACTGCTGGATCCTTCTTATGCTAAGAACAACATCCCCATCATCGCCTCTGTGTCTGAGCATCAGCCTACGACCTGGTCCTCGTACTATTTCGACTTGCAGCTTCTCGTCTTCATGTTTCCAGGTCTGTCTGCCTTGTTCTGAAGTGGTCTTCTTTCTAAGAACCATCATTTGATTCAAAATAAGTAAAATACCCTCATCCTTGTGCTTTTGTTGTTGTTTTTGTTTTTTGCCTGTTTATCTATGCAGTACAGAGGATGGCTAAGCACATTTTTCTAATATTTGAAGCAGAGCAGAAGTTGAACAATTGCAGATACTGGCAAGTTCAGAGTCTCACAGTTTTCTGTTCATTTGTATCATAAGTTACAGTTCAGCCCTAGTTCAGGGTTTTTGAGTACTTCTAGTATATCCCACCCCTCATCCCTGACTCCTCCCCATTTATCTTCTTGGCAGTAGTGAATTTTGAGAATAGGCATAGCTGACTCTAAAACTTCTTCATCTAACTTATCTTCTGGCCAATTCAGATTATGTCTTAGAATTTACCAGTGGTACGGACTTTGTTTTTTATTAAAGTAACTTTTTTTTTTCTTATTATGAAAGTAAGTTGTCATTTGTAAAAATATAGACAAATATTTTAAAAAGTAAAATTTTAGGAGTTCTCACCACACACCTGTTGCTACTATTAACACTTTGATGTATATTCATCCATTTATTTATTGATTAGAAGTCAGATGATAGAGTTTTTCCTCTGACTTTTAAAATTTCATAATCATGATAATTTGTTATTTAGTATTACTTTAGAGAAATAATATTTAAGATATATCATTTGTTAGTTTTTTAAGTACAGAGGTGTGTAAAGAGGAAGGCATATGGTCCATAAACTTCCACAGCAGTACTTTAATTGATGTATTTTATTCTATTTTATAAATATTCTGTAATTAACTACATCCTTAATGTTGGACATTTATGTGGTTTCAGATTAATTGCTGTTTTAAAGAGTGCCATAGTAACATCTTTGCATGTATCTATGATTGTTTTTTCACCTTTTCACTTCTTTTTACTTTTACTTTTGTAGTTGGTCTTTATTACTGCTTTAGCAACCTGTCTGATGCCCGGATTTTCATCATCATGTATGGTGTGACCAGCATGTACTTTTCAGCTGTGATGGTGAGGAATGAATGCCTGCAGTCTTAGCAAACCTTTCCACCCCTAGCTCTGAGGGTTTTCTTTGTACCCCTGCATGGCAGGTTCAGTATTGATGCTGTGCAGGGGCTTCCCTCTGAGTGCTTGAGGGGCTGCGTGGTAAAGCTGCTCACTGTTGTTGATCCTTCTCAGGAATGTATGGGGCACTCATACATTCTGATTGTGGGGCCCACCTTCCTTGGATTCATAACCCTTGTGTTAGGGAGAGGCGCTCTGTCACATGTTGGAGAAATTGACCCTGGGCGGGTTCCTTCCCCTCTCTTTCTGGTGTCTTAAAAAGGGAGATGATGTTTTTTTTTAAAGGCCTGGGTTCTGAGTGCTAGGTTGTTAAAAGAGAGAAGAGAGTTTATATATTGCAGTTAAGTCAGTGCTTCGCACACTTTTTTAATCCCAAACCACAGTTAAGAAATACATTTTATATCATATCATTGCTCAGGGAATACATATATACATGTAGACCTGAAAAACAAACTTAAAAATATATATATTCTATTATAGCTGTATCAAGTATTTTCTATTTTGTTCTATTCCACTGACAAATCATGTTTGTTGAAAACCCCTAAATTGATGTCATCATCTACTAATAGGTTGAAATCTGTAATTTGTATAACACTGATTGTGATCTTGCTTCCTGTTTTTTTTAGGTGCGTCTGATGCTAGTGTTGGCGCCTGTTATGTGCATTCTTTCTGGCATTGGAGTCTCTCAGGTGCTGTCCACTTATATGAAGAATTTGGACATAAGTCGACCAGACAAGAAGAACAAGAAACAACAGGATTCTACCTACCCTATTAAGAATGAAGTGAGAATTAAGCAACGCAAAGAACTGGCTTGGGGAACTGTGTGTGTCTTTGTGTGTGTGTTTGCATTTGTATTTTGTTTGTTTGTCTGAGTGAGGGGGAATAAAGTAGAGCACTGTCACAGGAGCTCAGAATGAACTCATATAGCCTCTAATCTATTCCGAGTTATCTCATCTATATTACTGACTGTGTGTAAGAAGCTGTTCTGTGTTACGTAAATTTAATTTGGTTTACAGCACAGTTCTTCTTCCTTGTCTAGGTGGCAAGTGGCATGATACTCGTCATGGCTTTCTTTCTCATCACCTATACCTTTCATTCAACCTGGGTGACCAGCGAGGCCTACTCTTCTCCGTCCATTGTGCTGTCTGCTCGTGGTGGGGATGGTAGTAGGATCATTTTTGATGACTTCCGAGAAGCGTACTATTGGCTTCGTCACAATACTCCAGAGGTGAAGATTTGGGAGGCGTGGGATTGTGCGGTAGGAGGAAGGGAGAGACATTTGATGTTATAGTGAATCAAATAGCTTTTAGATGGGTGGAAAGCTTGGAGAAATTGGAACTATCGAACCTGGTGTTGAATGAGCCTTAAAGGTCAACCTCCATTCAATTCAGGATTTTTTCTGTAAGCGACCTTTACTGGTAATTATCTGCATTCTGCTTGGACACTTGTACTGACAGCATGGTGATTTTATCATGAGGTAGGCCATCCCAATTATAAAAGAAGAAAAATAGTTAATAAATAATATATGTTTATTGTAGAAAAATCCAAAAATAGAAGCAAAGAAAAAGGAGACATAAATTTTCCATAAAGGATCACCTAACGATAACCACTTTTAACATTTTGGTTTATACCATTTGAGAATCTGAAGTGATTTTCTTTCCAATAGCCACTGGGAATGGCACTTCTGAGTTAGATTCTTATAAGAATTTCTTAATCCTTTTTCGTCCTATCCTGTGATTTGTTTCCCCTCCCCCACCCCCCCTTCTTTTTAGTAACTGATTATTGTGACTTTGTTTTTGGTCATTTATTTAATATGGTTATCTGATGAAACCAGGCTGTTTATTTGGAAATACTGCACAGCCCACTACACCTCCCACACCATTATGCTTGTTTGTATAAGATGATCTGGGATGAAAGTATTGGCAATGTTGGGTTGTATAATTTGCGTTGAGATTTCATGATTGTATGTAAATGTAGGACCAGGTACCAAGATGTATTTTCTTGTTGGGCATATATTATTCTGTGAAGAAACTGATTAATTAGCAATATCTCACTTCCTGTCAGATGCCCTTCCACCCCTCTTGTATTTGATTTTGGAGGCAGTGAGAAGCTTGTTATTTCCATCTCCCATTCTTCTTTCAGGATGCGAAGGTCATGTCATGGTGGGATTATGGCTACCAGATTACAGCTATGGCGAATCGGACTATTTTAGTGGATAACAACACATGGAATAATACCCATATTTCTCGAGTAGGGCAGGTAAGGTGAAGGGGTCATTTGAGTGTTTGATGCACAGGGTCTAGTGGGAAATACTTCTCCATGAGGGATCATATGGCCTGGAATTTTGCGCTGAGAAACGTGTGTGTGTTTTTCTAGGCAATGGCATCCACAGAAGAAAAAGCCTATGAGATCATGAGGGAGCTTGATGTTAGCTATGTGCTGGTCATTTTTGGAGGCCTTACTGGGTATTCCTCTGATGGTAATGTACTTGATTCTACTTCTAGCTACAAGGCATAGATTCTAAGAAAACTAGATGAATCTCTTATTTTTCTATCCTTTTACCAATATCTTATCAACATATTTTCTTAGTTGGGGAGGTTTCTAAGTATTTGCAACTTGAGATTTGGTTATTTTTATTTATTTATTTATTTATTTTGTAACAGGTAGGAAGTAGATATAAAGAATTCTTCTCATGTAGGTATGGCATGCTATAATTGTCTAAAGACCTAGGAGTAGTTCCACAACCAGTGAACAATAAAGAATATAAGGCTTCTGAAAATGAGCTTAAGAATTAACATTTTTTAGTGGGTTTAAGCCATAGAATCATCTGCCAACTTAAAATGTTTTATATATATATTTATGTGGCATATGTTAACCATGTTCCCTATGATTATTAGCAAAATTGTATGTTTAGAAGAATCATCCAAATATAGTTCTCTGCCTTAAAAAAAACTTAAAAAAATTAAAGCAATACCTGTTTATATTTTAAAATGTTAAATACTTCTGAAGGTTTATAATAAAAAGTGGTAGGGCTTCCCTGGTGGCGCAGTGGTTGAGAGTCCGCCTGCCGACGCAGGGGACACGGGTTCGTGCCGCAGCCCGGGAAGATCCCACAGTGCCGCGGAGCAGCTGGGCCTGTGAGCCATGGCCGCTGAGCCTGCACGTCCGGAGCCTGTGCTCCTCAACGGGAGAGGCCACAACAGTGAGAGGCCCACATACCGCAAAAAAAAAAAGTCCTCTGCCCCTAAACTACTTTATAACATCAGTTCCCAGGAAAATTATTCCTTCAGTTATTTCTTCTAGTACTTATGTACATATTTCTAAATAATATATGTATCCTGCTATTCATTGATCGATCATTTTAGATACCCTTTGTCAACTTCTTATTAAGGTAGATAAGGAATTTAGTTCTTTGTATGGTCCCCTCCCCCTTTCTGTCTTGCATCTTCTCAGTAGAGTTAATGATCAGTTTTTGGTTAAATCCAGATAAAGTGTTTTCATCATGACTAAGTAAATATTATTTACTGCTGAGTCAACCTGTACACCATGGTTACATTCTTATCTAGAATAACTTGTTTTCTGCAGTTAATAATTACCTCATATTTCTGTCTTAATTTTCTTTGAATATGTGGTTGCTTCTTAGAGATGTTCAGATTTTAGATTATGTCTGGCTTCTGATATAGACAGACTTAACAAATCCACCTGGATAGTATATGTAAAGTGTCAGTATAAAGTAATAAGACTAGTTTCTATGTGTTGGTGTGTTTTGTACAAGCAGAGGAAGAATGATGATAGCAGGGATGTGGTCCCATGGATTTGAACTTTCATAAGCAATTGTTTCAGCACCATTTGGTTGTGTGCGATTATAGGTTTTTTTCTTGCTAATAATAATAATTTATCCAAATAGTACAGAAAACTATTTGTGTATGTATGTATGTTTGTGTGCATATGTATTTTTATATATACAAATGTACACATGTATGTGGTAGAAATGGATAGTTCCCTGAAATCTTTAGTATTTCATGATACATATATATATCTATCACATTTTCTTTATCTGTTCATCTGTCGATAGACTAAGGTTGTTTCCATGTCTTGGCTATTGTGAATAATGCTGCAGTGACTGCTGATATCTCTTTGGGATATTGATTTCATTTCTTCTGGATATATCCCCAGAAGTGGGATTGTAGGATCACATGGTAGTTCTGTTTTGAATTTTTTGAGGAACCTCTCTACTGATCCTGTAGTGTCTGTACCAATTTACATTCCCACCAGCAGTGCACTAGTATTCCCTTTTCTTAGCATCCTTACCAGCATGTCTTTTGTCTTTTTGACGAGAGCCATTCTAGCAGGTATGAGGTGATGCCTCATTGTAGTTTTGTGTTTCCTTAATGATTAGTGATGTTGAGCACCTTCTCATTCATGTATCTGTTGGCCATTTGAATCTCTTCTTTGGAAAAATGTCTTTTCAGGTCTTTTGCCCACTTTTAATTGGATTATTTGGGGTTTTTTTGCTATTGAGTTGTATGAGTTCCTTATATATTTTGGATATTAACCCCTTATTTGATATATGGTTTACAGATATTTTCTCCCATTCCATGGGTTGCCTTTTCATTTTGTTGATCATTTCTTTTGCTGTGCAGTCTTCCATTCTCAAAGCTTGTCAGCTTTTTGCTTCAGACATACCTGCCAGGGACCTATAAAATCAGTACTCTAAGATAGTTGAGTTGATGCTCTGGGGTTTTATTTTTGGTCCTATTTCTGGCTGTGTGGTCTAGGCAAGTCTCTGTGCTTCAGGTTTTCCATTTGCAAGATGGAGGTACGATTGCAGACATTCCATGAGGATAATAATATTATTTCTTGAATACTTACTATGTGACAAACAATATGTAAGGTAACATGCTCTTACTTATAATGTTGTAGCAGCCCTATCGTTGCAGATACTCTCATTTTTCTAATTTGACATATGAGGAAACTGAAGCACAGAGAGGTTCAGTAACTGGTTCAGGGTCACCCACCTGGAATTGGCAGTGTGGGAATTCAAACCCAGGCAGTTTATCCAGAGTCCAGATCCAGAGTCTGTGTTCTTCACCACTGTGATATTCCCTGGAACCCTTTTTAGTAGGGCGGTAGGAATCTTTTCTTACGGATCAATGATTCATCTTATACTAATCGTCTATTTCCCTAAAGCCTTTGGGGGAGATACAGGGAGTGACATATTCTAAGAGATAACCTAAGTTGATGGTGCTATCAGTATTTATGGAGCCTGGTAGTGTGTTTGACATAGAAATGTTGACTTCTCATACATGTGCTTTAGAAGTTTGTAACTTTGCAACTGTAGGTCAACAGGGAGCACATTCTCTCTTCTCTACCTTTTTGGTAAAGCTGCTACTCCCTAGGTCATTGCTGTCCAATGACATGTGGGATCCACGTATGTAGTTTTAAAATTTTCTATTAGCTGGGCTTCCGTGGTGGTGCAGTGGTTAAGAATCCGCCTGCCAGTGCAGGGGACAGGGGTTCAAGCCGTAGTCCGGGAAGATCCCACATCCTGTGGAGTAACTAAGCCTTTGCACCACAACTACTGAGCCTGTGCTCTAGAGCCCGTGAGCCACAACTTCTGAGCCCATGTGCCACAACTACTGAAGCCCACATGCCTAGAGCCCGTGCTCTGCAACAAGAGAAGCCACCGCAATGAGAAGCCCACGCGTCGCAAGGAAGAGTAGCGCCTGGTCTTTGCAACTAGAGAAAAGCCCACACGCAGCAACAAAGACCCAACACAGCCAAAGATAAATAAATAAATTTATTAAAAAAAATTTTTTTCTATTAGCCATAGCAAAATAAGTAAAGAGAAACAGGGAAAATGAATTAAGTAATTTTATTAAACTGAATATATCTAAAACATTAATGTGTAACCAAAATATTTTACCCACTTTTTTTGTTTTATTTTGGACTAAGTCTTAGAAATCCATCATGTATTTTATACTTAGGGCACATCTTAATTTGGACTAGCCACATATCAAGTGTCAGCAGCTACATGTGGCTAATAGCTAATATATTGGACAGCTTAGCCCTAGCTAATACCTGGGACTAACTTCAGTTATGACTTAAGTCTGGGCCAATAGCATAGGATTTTAGGAGTCTATAGGAAAATCTATAGGAAAAGCTGTATATTTTGAGGAAAAAAGTTTTGACCATACATTAGCTTTGTTATTTTTATAACTTAGAGTTAAATGGTACTGTACCCCATTAGAAAAGTGTTTGGGGGAATTTCCTTAGACATAGTGACCTTTCATTAGGTGATTTAGCTCCAGCAACCTTTGTGATAACAGCAGTTTTTTCTTTTTCTTTTTTTTCTAGACATCAACAAATTTCTGTGGATGGTCCGGATTGGAGGGAGTACAGATACAGGCAAACATATCAAGGAACACGATTATTATACTCCAACTGGGGAATTCCGCGTGGACCGTGAGGGTTCTCCAGTGCTGCTCAATTGCCTCATGTACAAGATGTGTTACTATCGCTTTGGACAAGTCTACACAGAAGCCAGTGAGTGATTCCTAATAATAACAACAGTAACAACAGTAATAGCTAACACATACAGTGTTTTGTTTTGTTTTTTGCGGTACGCGGGCCTCTCTGCTTTGGCCTCTCCCGCTGCGGAGCACAGGCTCTGGACGCGCAGGCTCAGAGGCCATGGCTCACGGGCCCAGCCGCTCCGCGGCATGTGGGATCTTCCTGGACCGGGGCACGAACTCGCGTCCCCTGCATTGGCAGGCGGACTCTCAACCACTGCGCCACCAGAGAAGCCCCATACAGTGTTTTTATATGCCAGGCACTGCTTTAAGTGCTCTATATCTACTAATTCATTTAATCCTTACAACAATCCAAAAGGTTGATACTAATATTATTCCCATTTTATATATGAGGAAATTGAGGTACAGGTAGGTTCCTTAACTGCCCAAAGGCACATAACTAGTGCAGAGTCAGGTTAAACTCAGGCAGTCTGGCTCTAGCTTTTGTGCTTTTGCCCATTACTTTATTGCCTCTCAGTAAACAGTATTGTAGTGGAGAAAGGAATGTGAAAGGGGAAAGAGCGAGATAAAGGACTTTACATTTCTTCAGATAAATTGAAAGTAATTTGATTAAGTCTTTCTTTCTGACTTCTTTCCTTTCTTAGTTCTGCAGTTGGGATAACTTTTGAATTAGATGCAGGACTGTGACATCTGATAGGTTCAGAAGGGTTGCTAGTGTATCACAGAGGCCATGGGTGGTCCTCAGGAACAGAGGTGCTTGGAAGTCAGCCCTCTGTCTCTTAGAAGAGATAACCTCCATGCACTCTGCCAAGCATCATCTCGGAGAGGACGTGAGTTAGGGTAACACTTGATTTGCCCTTACTAACTGATGTCCTTTTCTGCAGGCCCTACTCTAAACAAACTGCATGCTAGGGAATAACATTCCAGTGGGATGATTAATCAAGTTGACTTAGTACTTCTGTAGGAAATCAGCACTGTAGAAAGATGTGTGTCTCCATTTTTGTCACTTTCTAGAGCGTCCACTAGGCTACGACCGTGTTCGGAATGCTGAGATTGGGAATAAAGACTTTGAGCTTGATGTCCTGGAGGAAGCATATACCACAGAACACTGGCTGGTCAGGATATACAAGGTGAGCAGATGTAACACTGAGAAAGCAGCTCTAGTGCTTAAAAACGGGGCCACATGTTTATAAAATAGGGATATTTCTAATGTCTAAAAAGTAGCTTGCGACTCACTTAGAATTTTTCTATTTTTATTTTAGATTGTTCTTAGAAAGTAGACACTCCAGTCTTCTGTCATCCTGGAAGTGGTTACAGTGATATTTTTCCAGTTGGAGCTAGACTTGATCTGTTTTAGTGACTGTCAGTCTTGGGGCGGTGTGGGGGAGAGAGAGGGGGGGGGGGACAGAGGGACAGAGGGAGAAGGAGAGTGTGTGCTTTTGAACTACATTTTCTCCTCTCCCACTGAAGAACTTATGGCATAGTCACATAGAAGTGTGTTCTGTCTCTTATGTAAGAAAAGGTTGAGAACTCTGCTGTATTTGGAAGAGTAGCTAGTTCCACACCAGAGCCAAACCAGGCAGCATAATCCAACATAATCTGTCCCCATCTGGGTGAACCAAGCTCAGTAGAGAAGCTCTCCCATGTTCACCTGATGCTTGTAAATATTAAACTGATACCTTTCTGTTGCAGGTGAAGGACCTGGATAATCGAGGCTTGTCAAGGACATAAATGTTACGTCCATTCGGCTCTGATCTGCTTCGCACTGAGTGTGTCACATTTAGGGCGCTGAAGATGGTTTAAAAATATGCAGTTTATAAGAACAGAGCGCGACGAGATTAGAATTGTCTGGAGGTTTTGTCCTGGGCAGTATGGGCTGAGCCAAATGGAATGATCTTTATAATTCTGAGCAGGTTACCAAATGAAATGTCATGGCTTTACTTTGGTCAATTAAAGGGGGGAATTTTTTTTAAAATGTGCCTTATTTGTTTTGACTTATGACTGATTTGAGGAAGCCTAAAGTTTATGCTGGGCTGATAGAAGGACAGAAAACAGACCTCATCTGTGCTCTTAGCTCCCTAAATGAGCCACATAGGGGCATTCTGTCTTTCTCTCTCAAGTCAGGAGAACTATCAAGGACTAGCTCAGATCCTACATATACAAACAATTTTGTCATTTCAAAAACTGCAGTACCTAGCACAATGCCTTGCACATAGTGGGTGCACAGTAAGCTTTTACTGAATGAATAAAAGTTTGTGGGACCAGAGGAGTGCCATTTCTGGGCAGGAAAGGGAGCTGCATTGCCATCATGTCTCTGTTCTCAACATCTCTTATCCTTAGAGGCTCTTTGACTACAAGGGACGGAAGGTGGCTAGCCAGACCTGATCTCACCAGTTTCTTTGGGACAAGCTAGGTGTTTTTGTTTTTATGCAGGAGTAAATCCAGTGATACTAAATCAGTAGTTTTGAAGACTTTAGGCAAACAGTGAAATTATTCTCAATGGAGAGGAAGAAACTCCTCCAACATTGTATATAGAACTTGATGGTCAGTAGGTGTTTTTGAATTAGCTGATTTGTAACCATACATATCTATCTGAAATCTAGCTTTTCAATACTCTCACTTATCCTTTAGCGATTTCCTTTAGCTCATGCACTAAAACTGTTGTGATTATTTAAAGGTGAGCTTCTCTCTCCCTTAGTCTCAGCCTCTGTTATTATATATCACTAACAAGCTCCATGATCTGGTTCTCAGGCCCTTGCCAAATTAGCTACAAAAAGCACAGGAGTTCCATCTATATTTAATGTCAGGACAAACATCCTTATGTTCAGTTACAATAGGGTATTTTATGTATTTTAAGACATATGTCAGTGATATGTATAAACCCTTAGTTATTAAAAAAAAAAAATACAAGGTAACTCTTTACTGTTACCTGTTTAAGAAACAGGAGCAATGACATGACTTTCAGATAAGTCAAAATGGTGCTCCTAAAGGTATGCTCAGGTCTACCTGTGTACCCAGGAAGCAGCCTTCCAAACCAGTTTATGTACCAGGTGCTTCAACTGTGGGTGAGATTTAGATCTGATGTAAGATTTGATTTACTATATGTAAATACATGACTTGGTTTATATACAGAATTCCTCCCTAGTGGAAGAGGTTATTCAGAGGTGGGATTTTTGTTTGTTTGTTTGTTCTTTTAACCAATATGAGTAATACCAGTTAGAGATCATTAGTGATTTGCCTCTGTAGGAATGGGATAACCCTTTATCACTGTACTTGTTACTCTTATGATTTTAATTTTGTTACTTTCTAGGCTACATGAAGCTATATTTTTTTTAAATTTACTTCTAATTTCCATTGTTACAGTGAACTTAGTGTAAAAGAAAATCAAATAATTCTAAAAAGCAACAACACTGTTTTCCACCCCCCCCCGAGGTACCCACTTTCAACTCAGCTGATTCTCATATTACTTACCTCCATATCATTAAATGACTTGCTTTATTTTGCTATGTGTTGGTTTTTCAATTTTAGGTATCATCTGTTGACTTTCTGGTGTGGAAATTGAGGATTTGGTTCTTTTTCACCATCCTACTATCCCCTTGTACACACATATTCTTACCATGTCAAGGCTCTATTATAGTTATGGTTTAGGTTAACTCAGTAGTTTTTACCTTAAGGCTTTTCACAGCTAGGCCATGTGGTATATATACTGTTACTACTTTTTTTTTCTGCCTAACTTTTTTGAAGGGAGTTTTTTCACTTGTGTTTTGTACTCGTCACTGATTTCTCCCCAGACTCACCTTCATTTGTGCCAGCTTCCTTTTAGTATGTTCAACTCATTAGGTATTCATTCTTAGAGATGTATTCTGTTTTGATATTCCAGTTTGGATTGGTTTACTCTCTAGGTTTGCTACACACCTCTTGGGTTGGTGTATCCTTTCACTGTTATATTCTGTGTTAATCCCCTTCTTTCTTGATTTATCACCACTACCTTCCTGAGAAAGTGTGTGGGAGATAAATTTCTTGAGATCTTGAGTGTCTGTCATCACACGATTCATAGGTTGGCTAGGTATAGAGTTCCAGGTTGGGATTAACTTTTCCTTAGAATTATTTCTGAAGGCATTGGCCCATTGTTTTCTGTCTTCTAAATGCTGAGAAATGCAATGATATTCTGATTCTTATTTTTTTTGTATGTGTCCATTCCCTCTCACTCCCTCCCCAGACCTCTTAGTATCTTCTCTTTGTATGTACTATTTTGAAAATTTCCCAATGATGTGTTCAGAAGCTGGGTACTTTAGACTTGGAAAAGTAAAGTATGGAAAGTATGGGAAAAGTATGGAAGGTCAAGTTCTTTTGTCTGGGAAATTTTCTTGAGTCATTTTTGGATTCCCCTGACGCCCTTTCTTGTGAAAAATAAGTTACTTGGATTTTGGACTTCCTAGGTTAGTCTCCCAATATTCTTATATTTAATCCTGTTTCCCATCTTTATTCTTCCTTCTGGAGATTTCCTAAACTTTTTGTTCCTAACGTATCTATTTTGTTTACTTTTTTTCTACTATCATGTATTTTTTTTAAATATCCAAGAGCTTTTTGTTTGAATATTCCTTTGTTTGGACATCTTTCATATTAAAGTCCTTTTCAAAGTCTTGCTTGTTTGCTCTTATTAAAGAGTGGGACCCTAAAAAGATGACTGGAAGGTCTGCTTAGTTTGGGGTGGGGCTTATTGAATGTGGGCTTCATTCTCCTGTGATCTGGCTGCGTTGTTACATTATGAAATCCCTGATATTGGTATCTTTAGGTCTTTTCTTCTATATAGGTAAGATTCCCTTGAGAAGGCTTTTATGTCCTCTGAAGGATACAAGCCAGGCTGCCAGATTTCTGGGAGTAAAGTGAGGAAAGAAGGCTCACAGGTTCAACCTTCAGTGCATAAACTTAATCCTTTTGGTTTCAGTTAGGTACCTAACCCTTAACTGTGCCTGATGCTCTCCAGTTCAGATAACCATGTATTTACCCTCTCAAGTCTATTACCAGCTTCAGGGAGGGGCAGTTCCTTGTATACACAGAGGAGGGAGAGGACCCAAGGGTCTATTGGCTTCATACATAGTCTTTCACCCTCTTTTAGCCCCACCTTCACCTCATTCAGTACCTGTTGTCATTAATTCAACTTGAGCCTTTAGGGAGTTCTATGATGTAAACCAAATTGCTTTTCTGCTTTCCCATTGCTGGCTTTAGGATTCATCTTTCTTTCATCTAAATTACCATTCATCTAAAGACTTTCCACTTTGCAAAACTTTTGTTTTTCACCTTATGTGTTTGTAGGTTATTGCCTTTTAAACATTTACTATTTTAAAATAGTAAATTTAATATTTCATTATTAAGTTAATTTATTTTAATATTTACTCTTAAAATTTACTATTTTAGTAAGGTTTCAGAAGGGAACAGGTTTTTGTGAGCATCTGTTCTTTAACTGATACTCTGCCTGAGATGTGTATGCCTTATTTTTTTCAGGCTGATACCTTTATTCTATCTAGACACAAAGGAACTGTGCCGGTCCGGTCCTCCTCTTCCTTTCTTCATATTCTTTGTTTGCAGCATGCAGTGCAGAAACTAGAGAAAATGGAGTAAACGATCTGGAAAACTTACTTTATTATACGAAACCTAAACAGTGATGTCACGGTTAAAAACTTCTCACATAAGCATTTCGAAGTGTTCTGGTCTTGTTTTTTGTCTTTTAAACAAATGTATGCATTTTTGTGTAACATATTTTACACTTATTTTACCAGTATCACAGTCAAGAGCTAGTTATGCTTATTGCATGTGACCCAGTTTTAAGAATTGGAGAATAGATGATCTTGCCTGCACCTTGAGTTCCCAGTCTAGTTTACTGTTGAGAGGGAGTATCTATTTCAGTTTTTCCACATTGTTCTCTAGCCAGTCCCTTTTTCGAATTTACTTTCGCACCTAAACTGGTTATTCTGCTTTTAAAATTTGCATTGTAAAATGCAGCGTTTTCGCTTCTACCTGCCCGTTTCTTACACATTAAAGAGAGCAGGTAGAACTAAGCTACGCAGTTGCACTTCCTTCAAAAAGGTTGAGTGGAGATATTGTTTTGGTGCCTGTTCGGACGAGACACGGTAAAACTGGTTATCCTGACATTACCTCCAGCTACAAAAGAGTAGCTTTCTTCATCCCGATGCCTTCCCACCCCCCATTACAGTGCAGCCAGTATTTGATGCTTCTCGCTCCTATCACAAAGTTCCTTTCATTCTAAACAGGATCAATGCTCAACAGCTGTCCCTGGCTTCTCGGCTCCAGTTTTATCTGGGCCGCGCTTTAAAGTTACAGGGACAGCACTTACGGAGTGTGAATCCTCGCTACCTTGCCAGGCAGCGGGGCGAGGTGCTCGGGGGTCCGGGACGGCGGTAGCTAGCCCCGCGGTGCTGCTCTACCCGGGAGCGCGAGGACGGCCGGACGGACGGCCGAGGTCACACGCCGGGTCCCACTTCGCGTTTGGGCCCGGAGGTCATTCACACCGATGTACTCGACAGTTCTTAAACCTCTTCAACCAGGACCTCCTCCTGGTTTGAAAGTAACCCGGCCCCGGCCAGCGTGAGTCTGCGGGGAAAGCAGGCGCCAGGCCCTGGCCGGCCCAATCTGCAGAGCAGCGGGCCCAGGAACGCGCGCCCCCTTGCTTTCCGGCAAGGGAGCGCGCGTTTGCGACAATGTGACGCCAGCAAGTTTTGGCGGGAAAAGCCCTGCATTTGGATTCCTGTGGTGGCGGGCAAAGGACGGCCTGGTGAGGAAGGGCGGCCGGTAGAGGGGGAAAAGTGCCTGGAGCCGGAGTTCGGGGGCTACATGACTTAGGAGGGGCACAGCGAGAGAAAGTGGGCACAGCGAGAGAAAGTTCTCGGCGCCGAGCCTAGAGGATCGGAGAGACTCCTGCGGAGGGGCGGTTTCGGAGGGTGGAGTGCCA